GCCGCAACATTCGAGCTACTGGACGCTTTCGACGCGCACAGCGGGGCTGGCAAGGACAACGCGTACGACTATTACAACGCGCTCGTGACATTAACGGACGGCGCCGGAATCTTCCATCTTCCGGTACGATGGATGTATCCGCGCTACCGGCCAACGCTGACCGTTCATAGGATCGTTCCAAAGAATTCTTTCGTATCGCGCATGAACGACGTCATCTCGAGTCTCTGAAGCGGGCGGGACGAGGACACGATGCAGCTGGTGGTGTGGAGCGCACGCAGTATGGCGAGCTGGCGGTGCTATGCCCGGCCTGTCCTCATCAAGGCATCAACACCGACGTGGTGGAAAGGATGCGCCAAATATCGCCTGAGATGGCTGACGCGCACGAGTACGTTTCTCCTGCGTGAGCGGTGGAGAGATCGTCGGCTGACACTACGATCTAGTATATTCAATAACACGATACAGCTCGCGATGGACTGCAATTTCCGAGCCAAGAATCGTATGACGCGCTCGACACCGGAGACGAGTCCGTATCTTGGCGACGGTATGGCATACATGGTGCCAGAAGAGCCGTACGCAGACTTCACAAAGGACGGCGGCTTGTACGACGCAGAGGTACGGCTGACTACTCTCGGTCTGTAGGAATGCGGATATTGATTGCCGGTCTCATAGATGAGCAATTGCTCGCGGTTCGGCGCGACCATCATGGCGAACTTGAAGAACGGCAAGGGCCTTAGAACGACCGGCATCGGAGCAGTCTTCTGCGCGCGGCATGAGTTTTTCTGGCCGAACACTATCGGCACTCTCATCAAAGGAGAACGGTGCGTTACCTGTTCCAACGGGCGCAGCTGCGCGGCTGATAGCGCTTTAAGATACAACACAATGGACTTTATCTTCGCCTCGGCACTGCGGCGCGTACGCGTCCCCATCGTCAAGTTATATTACGACATTATCTGCCAATACACCCGCAATCTGAACATCCGCATGCTTCAAGTCCCTTCGCAGTCATTCGTTCACGTCGGCGCTCAGAAACTTCTACACCAGATCAACATCACGTTCGGCATACCCAAATTCCATAACCCCGGTCATCTCGTGATCTGCCAGCTTTGGTTCAACCTGGCGTTCATTCGTGGAATCGGGAACACGGACGGGGAGGCGTCTGAGCGTGCATGGGCTGGTCTCAACCCCGCCGCATCCAGCCTTCGAGAGATGGGACCGGGCACGATGCGCGACACGATCGACTTCTTCTGTGGCGTATGGAACTGGAAGAAGTTCATCAACATAGGTAAGCATGGTCTTCTGCATGAACGTAAATCGGCGCTGAACATCCTACCAGGAGCGTTTCTGGTGCGCAAGATGGACATCGCGCTGGCGGCGGCGATCGAGCACTGCGAGATGTACTCGGGTCTTTTGGGCGCTGTCCGCGCCGAGAACGCTGTGATGGCGGACGGCTGGATAGACGAGACCATTGTGTACGAGGGCCGCGCCGTTCTGGACGAGCTCGGACGCCCGATTGTGTCGGGCCCAAATGCGGTGAAAAACCCTTACGAGTCGCGTACGCAAAGTATGTGCGACGGATGCCTGTTATCAGTATTCAAGCTAACAGACGCGCAGAACAGTCGCTGGAGAAGGCGCGCTTGCAGAGCGCTGCTATCGCCGAGAGGGCCGTCGAAGAAGAAAGCCACGATGGCGACCAGCAGGCGGCGCTGACGAACTTCATCCTGCGCGCGTTCAAGATAGAGGTTCTCCAGTGAGTCTCGTCGGTCATGGGCAAGGGGCGATACGCTGACGACTGTGGACAGACGTAAAGCCGTTAAAATCAAGGAGGGCCGCACTGTCATTCAGAAGCGGGAGCGCATGGAACAAAGTACGGAGCTGAAACGCCAGATCCGGCTGTTCAGGAAGGACCAGCAGTGGCTTATGCCGAGCATATACGCGGCGATACAGGAGCTGGAGGGTTCCGAGCCAGTTCGCTCGACGGCCGACGTCTACGGCGACGACGACGACGACGACGAGGGAATATCCGGGACGAACGCAGCGGTCATGTGCTTACCGTCGGAACTAGACCGCGATTTGGCCCGAGGCGTCCTGAACGTTCTATTGGAGGAACTAAAGCTACGGTTCTCGGGCATGGAGGACTGGCTCGACATCCTCCGCCAACAGCTGCGTGTACGCGGGACGGTGAAGCAGTGGAAGATCGAGTTCTCCACCGGTCAGCGTATGGCGACGCGGACGATCAACAAGCAGAGGGTCATACAGGAGAACATAGAGATGGCACGGGACATGTATCGCGTGCATCGCGAGCGCTACAAGACGCTCGTATCGTTCTTGACGGAGGAGGAGCTCGCCCTCTATGTCGCCGACGACTGGGAGGACCTATTCCAGGAGTTGCGGGATACCGATTGCCGACCGCTGAGTAATAGCTTGCTACTCGCCATCGACGCTGAAGAGGTGCGCCGGGTACGGCAGTTCATTGCTGCGAGAAAGGACGGCGTGGCGTCCGGCCAAAGCACATACCGTATTCCATGGATCTGGTACAAGGTCGCAGAGGGAACGGAACTGGAGCTGAACGACGGTTCGTGCCAGCCTGCGCTCGTTTTCTATACGCTCACAAGCTTGACGGATGGCAGATCTCCGTGTCGAGCTCGTGAAATGTCGTGCGCGAGCGATGCGCTGGGTGGAGGAAGTCTATCATCTTGCGTACGAGATGCTTCGAGCGCCGGCTTTTTGTACGTCACGCTCCGCCTGGTGGAAGGCTCAAACGGCGACGCCACGACCTGAGCTTGACCCCGCCGTGCGAGATGGTGTACGGGGTTACGGGTTTAAACAGGCGTCGATGTTCCGGCGGCACGCGCAAGGGCTACGGGAGATGTTCGATAAGCCTCTGCAAAAGGCGGCGGACTTCGCGCGTGTGCATGGATTAGACGGGCTCATAAGGTCGTCGGTACGGGAAGGTTGATGCTAATAGTATTTGTATATGACACGGACATATTATAATACGGGGATAGTACATAGAGAATGCAGTGCGAGGAACACGACGCGATCTCAGGCCGTGTTCATGTGATCGCGTTGACCGGAATGGCCGGAGTCCGAACGGGCGGGCTCGGACGGGCTTGCGCGTTGAGAACGAACCACCACCACCGCCTGCATGCGCGCCGACCCTCCCCTCAGCCTCGCCCGCCACCGCCACCCAACCATCTCGATGCACCGTATCTGGTCGATGGTGTATCCCCACCGTATCTCAGCTGCCTTGTGGGCTGTGGCAGGTAGCCTGCGCAGGTCGTTCGTGGTGTGCCGGGCGCGGTGGACTCGAGGACCGGTGACAGAAGCGTGTTCGGATTTGCATGTGGGGTCTGCGCAGGGAGTGACCCGAGTCCCAGCCACGGTCGTATTTAGATGGGGGTGGAGGGACGATGTCGAGGTGGACGGCGGGTCGGGGGCTGTGAGCGGCGGCGAGTCGGGAGCGGCGAGTCGGGAGCGACGAGCGGCGACGGCCGGAGAGGCCCGTCCGGCGACGGCCGCGGAACCGGGCTGCGACAAGGGGGCTGGTTGATCTGTATTTTTATAGTGCCTGACTACTTTAATTCTTCGCGTGTCATTTTTCGGGAGGTTCCCGTTTTTGTTTTATTATGTCAGTTCGATGTTTAATAATATAAATGTCGTGGTTTCATAATATCCAGGGCTTTTTGTCATTCTGCGAGAATTGTGAGTATTATGTAAGTATAGCTATAGCCCGTCGAGTAGGGTTGAAACCGGTCGAGTGGGGGTTTAAACCCGCCCAGGTCAACTTTGGCCAGAGGTTGTAACCCCCGGGCTGCTACGGCTGAGAAAGCGTCTATTGCAGAGTTGTAATAGATGGTGCGCATTGAGATCAGAACTACGTGTAACGGTTGGAGAGGACAGTGGTGGAAGAGAACAGGGTCGAACGTCGCCGTTGTACTTTCGGGGAACGTGGAAGGTGGGAACGTGGCCGAGGGAAGCGGGAAATATGTACAATCTCCGATTGTTCACACTACCACTAACTAGTAACTCCCCGCCCTCCCCCTACCCAAACTCTGCCTGTTGTCCGTGTGCGGATCTCAAGATTCGAGAACTGTGAGAACAAACCTCCGGCCCTCAACAGTTCCTCTGACAACCCTGTCTTGTCGGGTTCTGGCTACGGAACGGTACTCATCGCTGCGAGCCGTCCACGACTACGGCCAACAAGCATGCAACACGAAGTCTACTCTACACCGTATCTTCACGGATGTTACAGGTATTAGGTCAGCGTGCTATATTTGTGGACATCGGTCGCAGGATGACTGATACACTCCTCGGATACTTGACGGTACACGCTTCTGTAATGCGCTGCGGCGGCAAGATTCATGACTGGCTAGTCTTCTGCATTGTCGGACCTCGCTCGTACCGCGGGAATAGCACGTCGCTGGTCTCGCGGGACCGGCATTGGATGCCAGCCTGCGCGTGCGTTTTGTTAGGGCGCTTCTTGTTCCCAGTATGAGCCCGTCCAACATCCGAAGGTGCTCCTACCCAGACCGCTAGTCCCCAAAGCGATCCGGACGAATCCCAGAGGATGTCTTAGACTGTCTTATCGCAGCTGGCGTATGCGAAGCACTCCTCTCGATCTACTCACCATGTTCTTTGTATCATTCGCTCTTACGACACGGATGGTCAGTACCGCGCCATTTTTTGCTCTCACGAGTGGGTTTACGCAGTGCCTCTGTTACATTGTCGTGACCAATACATGTACTACTGAAGTAACATGACCTGGTCCCTTTCACAATGCTACTCTATTCTTACTCCTTACTCTTACTCAAGAGAATTCGACAGTGCCGCGATGTCCGAGGCATTCATTGGACTATCCAGCAGTCTACGACTCACAATGAACGACTTGGGATGACGACTCAATATGTAACTCCACTACAGGAGCACCGTACGCCTTGACAAATGCGCCTCACTTGACTCCCATCCTCATCTCTGAACTACCAGGTCGCCCGTGATGCACCCCCCCTCCATTCACCTCTCGGCTCACGGGTTTCTGAGATTCATCTTGCCCTTCCCCATCAAAAGAAGCGATTTGAAACGCCTTGCGTCCTGCATCGCCTCAATTTCATTTTGCCGATGGGCTGTCGATGGCAGGTGCGGCTCTGTGTTAGGAGCACACCCATACACTTTGCAGCTCATTCAAAAGTCACTATACACAGCATCCCCCGGATACGTGTATAGACCCTCGGTGTACTGTTCAGAATTGCATAGTACAGGCTCATGAGACTCGTGAAATGGGGATGATCAGATCGTCCTAGTTGATTGGGGCTCTCGCTACGGGTATCAATCCCGGCATTTAGAAGCTTTACCTGTCCTCGCCAGAACCTCCTCTCTCTTTCGGCGCCCACCTCCTATCGTTCACTACCTACGGAGAAGCATACCCTTCTCTCCCGCCGGTCACTGTGAAATCCGCTTTCTGGTTGAGCTCTGAACGTCGACCTAATCTATTTGATCATGACATTCACCTCCACAACACCGAGTCAGCCTGGCTCAACTGAGGCCTGTAGTAGCTATGCAGAGGCGCAAGATTATCTCACGCCGGAAGAACGTCAGGAACGCGAATTACTCAGTTCCAGGCTGCGTGAACGTGCCGCGTACCAACAGGTCAGCACCAACCTCGACTCAAACTCCAGCCTTTCCGGTATCAGCATGGCCGGTCATAGATTAGTTGTTTACTGAACATCTTTATGCATAGATGGCCCGGAATCTTCGCGCAAAGCTTCAATATGCGGCTTACAAAGTTCGGCATAATGTTGCCCATCTCACATTCGCGGAGTTGGAGGCATCAGTCCAACGACAAACAACTCCCACACGCTTCCCTGGCCCCGTCACCCGAGCACCCGCTTTCGTTAGCGCCTCAAGCGCTGCTGCTAATGGGCCCACGCATGGTTCCACAGCACCTGTCGAGCCTAGACCCGGTCATACGGTTTCAACCTCCAATCCCCACGGCCCGCCCCCCAGCAGTACCGAAAGCGCAGATGCGGTTCAAGCTTTCTATACCTCCATATCTGCACGCCTGTTCCCCGGGCAATCACGCACCGCCCAAAGCGCAGGCCCACGTCATGAACTGCCTGGTTCTAAGCAGCGGCATGCGTTGCGTACTGGCAAGAGCCTTTTAGACGATGCGGATGCGTCTTCTTTCGCGGAGCGTGCGCAGGTTGAGCATACCTCCGAGGTCGCAACAAGCACTCCATCCTTGAAACGCAAGGCCATCGCGTGTCCTAATCATCAGGCAGATAAGAGGAGGCGCACGGACGCATGTGGTCTCATTGCGGGGAGTGGCGACAAGGAAGATCTACTGGCGGCCGCGATGCTCACTGACCTCCGCTCGAGAGGTCAACGCGGAGCCGGCAGGAGTGAGGATATCTCGCAAGCTATGCAGATGTCGCATCGTCCGACTGGCATGACCAGTCTTCCCTTCATCAACCATCAGCGTCGTAGCTCGGCGCGACTCTCGGCGCGACTGCAGCCCAGTGCGCACAATATCTATCAGACAGCACCTGCCTCTTCGTCTGAGGCGCCTTATACACTTGGATCTAGTCCAACGGCCGCGTCTTCTACTGCATGCGTTAGACACGTCACTGGCGCGCAGTGCGTCTCACCTTGCCTTGTCGACCGGGACGCAATCGCTCTGCTCAGTCACTTCCACAACAACCCTTCGCTCAATGAGGAATATACTACCACGATGGTTCGCGAGGGTGGTACGCGCCTCACTACAGCCACACGAGGAGTTCCCGGTGCAATGATCGCGGCGACTTCGAATATTCAAGATAATGGGCGTAATGCGTCTCTATAAACCTGGAAGCGCTCCAATGAGTCCTACGCCGGCGTCTCTGCACGCGTCTTCGGGGCTCATTCCGACACCGGTTGTATATATACGCCACTCTTCCGAGGCCAGTCGTGTCAAGAAGAGGTCGACTTTTGTGGTCGGACTCGGGCTGCAGCCTGAACAAAAACCGGCGCTGATCGTCGTCGGGAGCAAGGCGAAGTTGGTCGCTCGGGCACTTTCGGCGGATGTGATGCGCCTCGGCGGACCTCGCCGCGGTATCTAAACACGTGTCTTTGCGGTACTACTGTTGCGATGTATCAAATACTACCTACTCCTGATCTTCAGCATTCTTCTAAAGCCTGTGTTCGGATGGAGGTATGACTCTGCAATGCAAATCCTGACGTCACCAGTCAAGCTGAAATAATACATCCGCCGTCTGCATGTGAGCGATATGGCCCGCGGGCGCGCATAGCTCTGCAACTGGCGCAAATCATACAATCGTCTTGTCTGACCTTTCCCCTCCTTTCACTCTCACACCTTGATACAGGGCCATATACAAGAGTTACATTTCCGAACGTAATACACAGCGGAGCATAAAAAGGAGGTCACTATTGTCCCGAAAACTGTCTTGCATTGCTTCAAGCCCTTGTCGAGCGCGTCTTCGCTAGAGAGCACGACCCCGCTTTCAACTCCGCCTTCTTCGCCGGACTTGAAGATGCACCACTTGTCCCAAAGCCGTCAAAGCCGTCCTCATCGTCCTCGGCACTCTTGCGAGGGGACTTCGTGGTCCGCGCTGGAGACGGCGAGCGCGTCTTGGGCGACTCGAGCGCATATTCTTCGAGCGCGTGCGTGACCGCTCTCGCGTTCAAGCCATTCGACAACCATCACTACATCCTGGACGGTACCTTCGTCTTCGGAATCCACCTCCCGACCTAGGCGATGTCCCGGATAGCTGCTAGTAGGTTGTTCAGGTCAATCGCGGCGACCTCGAGGCCTTAGATGTCTGGCACACATCGCGGTACGCAATCGCTTACCGTGGACGTGTTGGAAGCGTCTGACATCAGGGGTAAGCAGTATTTGTAGCAGAAGTCTAGCCCGAGCGCACCTGGTCCATATGTCCAGGCAAGTACTCGCCAGGACGTCTGCGGCGCTCCGATTACGCCCTGCGACGGCTCGCCGTGCTCCGTGGGTCGTGAGTCAGTCCCCACACCCCTATCTCTACCTTAGCCGCGTCCGTGCGATGCGCGCGTCGCCAACTTGGCCGCACCGGTATGATGCACTGGTAAGGCGCGTGCGCAGTAGCCGAACCGATCCTGCTATGCGATAGGTTAGCGTCAATGCTTGGACCGATCATAACCCTCGCACCTTGCAGCGGCATCGCCAGTGTGACAATGCCCATACCTAATGCACTTGCCCGCGCGGCTCCGACGGTGCGTGGCGATGTTTGGTGAGCTGTGCGTCCTCGTGTCGGCGTTACATAGAGGTTGTGAGAAATTCCGCACCTCATTGAAATCCTATGAGGCTGTAGCCGATGTAGCGCGCGCGCTACGCCCAAAGTGGCAACTTGTGCGCTATCGCCCGTCGCCAGCAAGGTCCACAGGATCCATTCGTGTTGGAAACTATGAAGCAAGCAGCGCCATGTTGGCCGTGGCCGGTCACCCGATGTTAGAGGATCGGGTATTCGTCGAGGTCTTCTGTCACTGGGTACACAAGCTTCTGGAGCCTTGCCTCGCCAGGTTCATCATCCGCGCCTTCCACATGCACATGGGCTTCAACCTCTCTCCCAATCCGGGAGCCATTGAGACTGGTGGAGAGGGGTGCGAGTGTGGGCATCCGCAAACCCAGCGGCGTCTAGCTTTGGCGAAATGGGGAGGCAATGCGACGCTCGTCGAACTTGCAGGGTCAAGGGATCTTTTACGCGTGATATGTGGGGTACAGGTCTTCAAATATACTACAGGACTGTATTAGTGTTCAGTACCAGAGTATAAACGCTAGTTATTGTCGTGAACATGAATCATCC